CTTCTTTTATCGGCCATAATTCTCTTAACGTCAGTACCTAAAACTCATAAATGAATAACAAGTGCATCATTATAAAGGAAAGTCAAACCGTCGGCATCTGACTCGTCGAAGATGATACTTTATTCGATCCTGTCATACCGTTCTTGTTCACGTTTTTAGCTTTTACCCTTTCAAGTACAATATTTATCCCAAGTTGATCGAATAATCTTTCTTCTCTTGTAGCTACCAATCATCCTCCTCCTTTGGCGGTACGTCTCGCTAATTGGGTTAAGCAGGTTCTCCCCTATACCGCGGGGATTCGTGACTGGAAGATCTTCTTTCAGAAGTTCATACCAGCCCTTCCCTAGACAGGTAATCTCCTTCTTCTGGTCGTGATCGTATTCATATCGGCTTGTGCCTTTGCACTTAATTCTTACGCTTTTTTTAAGTTCAATCAGGGGGGACTACAAGAAAGAATAGGGAGCCCGTGCCGACATTTAGGAGGAGAAGGGTCGCTACGCCTTCCGCCCCTGTCTCGGTTATCGCGTCTTATGCCTCTGCCTTCATCTTAGCTGATGCTCCCGTTACTCAAATATTTTCACTCATCGACGAAGATGATGAGTCTCTCCCTGTGATGGGGAACTAAGGCCCAGTAAAAGGAAGTCTAGGACGTAGGAGGGGATTTCCCTTGGTCATCAATTCAGTAGGGGGTGAATTCTCGCTTTGGGAGATGATGGCGATTCACATTAGACATGATGTTAGGGCGACCACCGAGATCCCTCAACCGGAAGAGGCTCATGAGGGTGTGCCCTTATATTTCGAGGAGGAGAAGGTTGTGGAGAGGATGCTTGGCGTTAGCTTCGTGCCTGTAAGGCGAGAGGAGGCTTTATCTTCTAGGCTGGCACCGGATGCTTCTCCGGCCGACGAGGACAAAGGAAAGGACGTCATTTATAAAGGTGATGAGTCAGGTTCCGAAATGAACCCTGACGATCTAAGGATGATTGATGAGGGACTCATTCAGATCGAGGTGGGGATAGAGGGATCCTCAAGGACCATCACGATCCCAATGGATCGTGATTTGCTGAGAAATACCAAAGAGGCGGTCCTCACTCTAGGTCCTCTTTGCTCCAACCCCGAGCGTGTGACCCTCAAGGATATAAATGACATTACCTTGTGTAAAAACATTATCTGCCTTGCTCTCAGGGTAAGTATGGTTGTTGTTCGTTCTTTTCCCTTTGTCTTAACTCGTTTCTAAGTTTTAAATTTTACCTTTTCATAATTTGCAAACGGACATTCTGGAAATTGAGAGTGCTCAGAGGGAGAACAGATGTAAAGAAATTTATGTGAAGTTGAAGGGTAAGTACGAGAAGTACCATGGGAAGTATCAGGATCTTCGGAGGCAGCTTTTCAAGGAGGGCGACATGCCGGCCTTGAGAGAAGAATTGAAGAAAAAGAACGAGGATCTGATGGCGGTCATGGATAGATTCAGCATTCTCGGGGTAGTGTTTAAGGGAAAAGAAGAAGAGCTCGATACGAGTAGGGGTGTGGAGGCCCAATGCAGCAATCTTCAGACTTAGCCGTTTCAACTACGAAGCTAGTTGGATGGATGCCAGCTCAAAATCGACACTTTTAGGGGGGAGGTCGCCGGCCTTCTGATCTCTTCGGCCCTGTTGATTGCTATGCTTTTTTCTTTTTTATTTTGTCAAGTCGTCGTGTTTTCCACGGTGATTCGGTTACATTCCGGCGATGTGCTTTGTTCCCCTCGTATGTTGAATATCCCCCAAGGTGTTGGGTATTTGATCACTTAGTATAAGCTGTAAGGGACGACTCTCACGGGGTGTATCCATGGTCATCCCATGATGGCGTTGTATGTGATGTCATGGTGATATGGAATGTTGTCTCTAGATTTACTTCTTCGGCGAGAAGGAGGAGTGTGATTTCTCCTGAAGCCCGTTCAGTTGCATTGTTAAAATCGATTAGTGTAATACAATGTGGTGCTATCTTATCCTCGAGTCTCATCTATGCGAAAACTCAGAGATGGATGGTTCCATCTCCACTTCCCTCATCGACCATAAATCTCTTAGCAACAGTATCTAAAACTCGTAAAGGAATGACAAGTGGATCATTATAAGGGAAATTCAAACTCTCGGCATCTGACTCATCGAGTATGATACTTTCTTCGAGTCCGTCATATCGTTCATGGGTGATCGATCTTTTGAGCTTGTGGGTGGCAGTAAATTTGATGCCATTGATAGAGGCGTCGTCGCTGCCACTAATAATCATATTGATAGTACAAGTTAGCGAAGAGGGCTTTGGTGGGCCTGGATGTTCTCGACACCTTGCTAAGGTGTTTCTATCTTTGTCGCTGAGTAGTTCTTTGAGGTGCCCTTGTTGCAGCAAGTTTGCCACCTCTAGTATCAGAGCGATGCAATCTTCTATTTTGTGTCCACGTTCTTGGTGGAACTCGCAGAGAGCGTTATATTTTCCTGTGTTCGGTCCAACCTCATCTTTGGTGGCCATTTGACTTTTGTTCCGAGCTTCTCGAGAGTGAAGACCACTTCTGTAGGCGATACACAAAAATTGTGAGCAGATAACAAGGGGGAAAACCTCAATCGTCCCCGTGAGTGATTGATCTCGGCCTAGACGGGCCATTTACATAACGGAAGGACGGGACGGGTGTCCTGACATAGGGTTGGTATCGTTTCCTGATTGGCTGTGATATTTGGGGGTCTCTCCTCATATTATTTCTGCATTCTTTCCTGGGCTCGGATTGTACTAAGGTTAGTCGTCGAGTTGGTCCATTGAGGTCGCAGTTGTCTACTCTGACCTTGGAATAGTAGGCATTATGGATTTCATCCGAAGTGGCCGGTGGATACTTCATTAACTAACTCAGCGGTTTTCTGGTCGCCCTTGAACCCTCTCTGCTCAACCCATTATGAAAGGCTGCCATGGCCATCCCTTCGGAAACATTTGGTAAGGTCATCCTCACCCTGTTGAATTGGGCAATGAAGTCCCTCAGTCCCTCTCTTAGGGATTGCTTAATGGCGAATATGTCATTTACTCTTGTTTTAGCTTTCTTGCCCCGACATGTGCCATCATGAACTTGTCGGCCATCTCTTCAAATGTTTGTATGGAACGGGATGGTAACTGTGAATACCATATCAATGCCCATCCATTGAGGGTTTCGCAAATTTTTTTCATCAAGATGGAGGACACCTGCTGTTTGATGAGGTCGTTGCCTTTCAGTGCGGTAACATAGTGAGTCACATGATCTACGTGGTCAGTCGTCCTGTCGTAGATTCTAAGATATGGGGGCTTCTCAAAGGTCTTTGGTATGGCATGTGGAGCCGCTTCCTCGCTGTACGGCTGTTCCACGAAACTGCCTGTGTCTCTTTTTGGTAATAATTTAGGTTCACCTGGTATTTTGTCTACCCTTTCATGGTGCTCTTTCATTTGGTCTTTGAGCGCCTTATTCTCGTTTTTCATTTCCTCCATTCTTTTCAACACGGCGGTGAGGATGCTGTCACCTGCATTTTCGGTAATAGTGTGAGTTTTACCTGGAGTTGGATGGCTTGGTTGGTCGTCGTGTTCGTTTCCACGTTCTGCTGCATGGATTATCATGATTTCTGTGGTCGTGCATAGGGATTATTTACTGAGAACATTGACTAGAGAATTAGTTAGCCATGCTTCGAGGAGATCTTTCATGGAAGGCGGCGCCCTTTCTCTCGTGGGCGTGGACGCTCCTTTCCCATTTGGTTTTGTTGTGCTGCATAAAGGGGCAGGCGAACTCTTTTGCCTGGGGAGGCAGTGAGTGTCACTTGCTCTCCCTGGGTGTCATAGCCTTTGTTGATGGCGTTCATGATATTAAGGGGATTATTATTTGTTGCCCTCATTCCATTTCCTATGTTACATGCCATGGAAGGTTTTGTACGCACATAGAGAATAGATAAACTCTGTGGTTTATTAGATTAACAAGTCACGTAAGTTATGGATCTAGTGGAAATTAAAAGATTGCCTGAGAAAATCCCCACATACGGTGCCAAACAGTTTGACCCAAAATTTAGATCTAGGTTTAACCAATTAGATTTTCTAATGGAATAGAGTTAATCTTAGCCAATATTAATATCCAAAAGATTGTTTAACTGATATTTTAGTAAGATTTCATAAGTACTATTCGAGTAGCAATAAATAACAATAATAAAGCAATATTCAATAGACCAAGAACAAAGAGGATATCATTAAATAACAATAAATGATAATGAATGACACTTATGTAAATAAATGCAAGCGAGTCACCCGAAAAGGGTGAGATTTTATTATATTCCCTCTGACAAATATGGATGATGATAAGCCTTAGAATATTCAGATCCTTCTTGGATCGTGGGAGAAAAGATAGACACATATCTAAAGAAAAGGTGTATTTTGTATGTTAATGATAAAGCAAGAATCTTCAGAGAATGTCAATGTATTATTTTTTTACAATAAATGTACAATCCCCTCTACAATCCTTTCTCTTTCTATTTATAAGGGCACATGAGCCAAAAAAAATCTATAGTACAGATGGGATAAATATTTCCTAAAATATTCTCTCTAAGGTCTTATTTCTAAGACTAGCTAATCACGTCCAACTATGACTTATAAAAAGGACTAAGTGGTCGTTGCAAATCTAATCTGTTTTACAAAATTCGGAGTCGAATTCCACAGAGAATTAAGGATTAGCTACAACTGTTTTATATCACTAAGAAGGCAAGCTCGAACAATTTCTAAGTTAAAGAATGTAATTTTTTTATTCTAAACTAATTAACTAACAAATCTAAAAAGCGGTAAAACTATCAATTAACAAGGATAATGTTGGAGACAAGATAAATGAGGCCTAGAGTTATGATTTTCCTAATTGTCGGAATCCTTTCCACTATGCCTCCTATAATTTCTTCTAAGTATTCTCTGCCAATAGTGAGTATTTCAGATTCCATAATTCTCTTCCGAGCAACTACTATAATTTATTAGAAGTTTTCTTTCGAGCTACGCTAGCTGGCACTAATTCACCGCTCACTAAAATAGCACCAAGGTTTCGTTATTCCTAATCCCTCCATATTGATCTCTCATTCCCAAGCAATACATAATACATAAGCACAATTTATTGAGGGATCTTCAATAAACTGAAATAAGTACATAGTTAAACAAGAAGAGAAGTCCAACAACTCAATTATATAAAACCATAACAATAATTTATCTTACAAAAAGTTTCATCAAAATCCTAGATAACAAATTAGCTATTCATAATAGTATGCACAATTACATGTAACGACCCGACTAGTCATTTTGAAAATTTTCGCCTCGATCCCCTATTAACTGCTTTCCCTGTGTTTATTTCTGCTATGGTGGTCTGCTGGGAAGATTCGTTTTGAGTTTCGGAGTGTTTTGGGACATTTAGTCCCTAAATGAGAGCTTAAGCTTTAGAATTTGGACCGTAGTCAGAACAGTGTGAAGACGGCCTCGGAATGGAATTCTGTCGATTCCGTTAGCTCCGTTGAGTGTTTCGGGCTTAGGGGCGTGTTCGGATTGTGTTTTGAAGGTCCGTAGCTTATTTAGGCTTGAAATGCCGAAAGTTGAATTTTTGAAGTTTCCGGATCGATAATGAAATTTTGATATCGGGGTCGGAATCCGATTCCGAAAGTTGAAATAGTTCTGTAGTGTTGAATGTGACTTTTGTGCAAAATTTAGGGTCAATCGAACTTGGTTTGGTTGGTTTCGGCATCGGTTGTAGGATTCTTGAAATTTCAAGTTCTTTAGGCTTGGATTGGAGTTCATGTTTTTAGCGTTGTTTGATGTAATTTGAGGGTTGGACTAAGTTCGTATGATGTTTTAGGATTGATTGGCATGTTTGGTTGAGGTCCCGGGGGCCTCAGATAAGTTTCGGATGCTTGACGGAAGTGGTTTTGAACTTAGGCAATTGTTGATATTGTTGAACCTGCTATAATTGCACCTGTGCATGTAGGACCGCAGGTGCAGCACCGCAAAAGCGGCTCAATAACCTCAAAAGAGAGCGGTCACTGCTCTCAGCCTGTCGTAACAACGAAAGAAAACTCCACATACCGGTGGGTTTGGCCTGGTGCTCCAGGGACCGCAGATGCGTCTGGGAAACCGCATATGCGGCCCCAGCCCGGTTAAGTGGATTTCGCACCTGTGATGCTTTTCCCGCAGGTGCGGGACCGCATATGTGGCCCTGTGACCACAGAAGCGAAAATCGCTGGGCAGAAATATGAAAAATCGAGGGTTTGAGTTCATAACTTAAAAAATCAAATTGGAACTCGGGGAAGGCGATTCTGTGGAGATTTTGAAGAGAAGATCTGTGGGTAATGATTCCTAACTCGTTTTTGATTGTATTCCATTGATCTAATCTTAATTTCATCACTTAATTTCGAATTTGGGGTGAAAAATTGGGAGAATTGAGGAAAAGTTCTTAGGCCGAGTTTTGGGATTTTGATCAAGGTTTTGGTATCGGATTTGAGTGATTTTGGTATGGTTAGACTCGTGAGTGAATAGGTGTTCATAATCCGTAATTTTTACCCGATTCCGAGACGTGGGCCCGGGGAGGATTTTTAGGTGATTTTCCTAATTTCTCGCTGTAGCTTTAAATTCATTAGTTAAATTAGTTGCTTGTAGTTTTATTTACGTTATGTAACTGATTTGATTAGATTTGGGCCACTCAGAGTTGGATACTCGTGGCAAGAGCGTGATATCGGATTGATTTTGAGCTGGTTCGAGGTAAGTTGCTTGCCTAACCTTGTGTGGGGGAACTCCCCTTAGGATTTTGATATTGTTGTTATATGAATGTTGTGTACGTGAGGTGACAAGTGCGTACACGTAATGATTGTTAAAAAAAATCCCGTTTTCATTAAGTAAATATTTGTGTTTCCTTTTAATTGAGCACTACTTGTATTTGAAGCCTATTGTTTAGCTTAGGAAAGCATGCTTGAGTGACTTAACTGTCGTATCTGCTTAAACTGCTTACTTGGATTCTGTGCAGCATGTTTAGAGTAGAAATTCATGTTTCTTGGTACGAACTTGAATATAAGTGTAGATTCCTTTCTTGAGACTATTGTGTGTTTACTTTGGGACTACGGGACGGTATCCCGGGAGATCCCCCTGCTTGTTTACTTTGGGACTACGAATCGGTATTCCGGGAGATCCCCCTGCACATTTATATTTGGGACTACGGGACGATATCCCGGGAGATCCCCCTGTACTGGATATTTACGTTTGGGACTATGGATCGATATTCCGAGAGATCCCCCCTGCACATTTACGACTTGGACTACGGGACGAAATCCCGGGAGATCCTGTGCACATTTATGTTTGGGACTACGGGACGTTATCCTGGGAGATCCCCTGTTGTTATCTCTGCGTATTGAGTTATTTCTTCCTGTGATTTCATCTTTATTTGACTGTTAGCATTGTTAATTATACTGTCGCGTTCTACACTGTTTTACCTTATTATATAATTAAGTAACCAGTAGAGCCCTGACCTTCCTCGTCACTACTCGACCGAGGTTAGGCTTGGCACTTACTAGGTACCGTTGTGGTGTACTCATGCCCTTTCCTGCACATGTTTTTTGTGTGCAGATCCAGGTTATTCTGCTCGGCCGTTC